GTGCCAAGAACCCCGAAAGCCTCAAGAGCAGCCCTGGCATGGCAGCCGAGCACGAGTCATCCGAGTCATCCGTGTCATCCGAAGAGGGCAAGAGCCTCAAGAGCCTCAAGAGCAGTTCGCTGCCACTTGAGGAGACAACCGCTGGCTGGGACGGAGCCCGTGTTCCCGGCACGAATCTACTCTACTGCAACTTGCTCCTGACGAAAATAGATACAGTTGTTTGCCAGATTGATGATTTCAATTCACCCAAGTCCAAATATTTCTGGGTATGCAAACCAGGTTTTCACCAGGTTGTTTTCGTTTAATTTTTTGCAAGAGTAAGGCGCATGCGGAAAGAAATGCAAGAGTGGCCGCCAGTTGGGACTGTGGACATACTGGTGCTACCAATATGTTTGCAAGCCATGCTGAGCCAGGCACCACGTCTGGTATGAGTTTCTTTGTACAGCAGCAAAGCTCAATTTGCTGAATTTGGGGTCTCAAGAGGACCGCACAGGCACCCATCATAGGCATTTTGATCCTAGCTAATTCAAGATTTTGTGCAGCTGCAAAGCGCATGCTAACTTGTGAAGATGGACATGTGGCTAGCCATGAACAGAACTGGTTTGAAATGGCGAAAGCTGCAAAGTTTCAATCCTGAACAGTGCAAGGCGCCGGGTGCTTGAACATCTCACAGCTCAACAGCTCTTTTGCCACCGGCAAAAGCTGACACGGACCAAATGGAGCAAGATAAAGGCCCATGGGCTAGCGCGTCGTGGGGTTCCGCGAGGGGCTGGATGACGCCCGGTTTCTCCAATCGGAGCAGAAGGTGTTGGAAGGCGCCAATACTGCAAGCTTGGTGACAAGGATTGATGATACAAAAACATTACTCACTGAGGCAAAGGACCAGGTGTTACTGGGTCTTGAGACGCGTAGGGGGTAGGTGAGACTTCGTGCTCTTTAGGCCCTCAAATCTTCAAAGTGGCAGTGGCCAGCAGCATGTGCCCTGAAATGTTCCTTCCATTGAAGGGTGCATCAGGGGAAGGGGACCTTCTTCAGGAGGTCCCCTTCCCCTCGTTGCCGCGAGAGCTCGGGGACCACGGAGGAGTACTACGAGGACCCGTTGATCTTCACCCACGAGGAGGGCCACAACTTCCCCACGCAGCCGCCCCGTTCGCGGCAAATCTATAGCCGGGTCGCCTCTGAGGTTTGGAGGTGAGCCGGGTGTGGTTCCGGGTTGGACGGAGGTAGGGAGCAAGAGGGGGTGCCCTGCTGAGTTTCGGGATGTGAAGAGGAAAGTTTTAATGGGCTTTGGATTTGAACCTTCACAATCACATGCTGAGGGTGACATTGCGAACGTTTGGTGTGTGAAGAGTTAATCGCCTGAACAATCCAGAGCCTAAAACAAGAGCAATCCAGGTCTCTGGACCCTGGGTCTCAATTCTAAGTGGTTTCTTTGCCAATCATAACAATCATATGGTTTTGATACAGTCAACGGCCAAACGAGCACTGAACTACAGGACAAGGTGTGCAGTTCGTCTCAAGGGCATCATGGTAATGGGTGTACCGTTATTTACAGTTCATCTCAGGCCGAACTTCGTATTTGCCAGTTGTCTGTGAGGAAACACCAAAGGATGGATACGATCAGAGCGAGTGGAAAGGGAATGGTTCCAAACATGACATGTGCAGAGCTCATGCAACGCCAACCTTTAGGAGCATCAGGAATAATAGAGCTGAGCTGACCTGCCGGCCCATGCCTCTGCCTTTCCTTGCCTGTCAACCGTTTCCACTGGGGGAGGCGTTGCGGCGGCCGGCCCCCCTGAGTTCACGTGTGCATGAAGCAGAAGCCGAGCCCCAGAAAAGCGGTTGTGCGTTGCCTGCGTTGCCTGGTTGCCTGCAGTGCTTGTGTTTCTAGAAGACTAAGTTGACCTTCGGGTCCAGCCAAGGCCGGTAATCTAAAGACGAAGAACAATGGTGATTGGAGCAGGCATGCTATCCCTCCCACTCACCTCTGCCAAGTGCAACAGCCTTTGGGACATTTTGGAGCTCCAGGCCGTTAGAGTGACATGGAACACTAGAGCACAAGTTTCCCGTTGGTGATTCTTGCTCGGAGTGAAAAAAATCGGATGTTTTTGTGAGATTCAAAGGTCCATGCTTGGAGTCATGTGGCACAGCTTGGCCAGATGACTCGCCACGGTGGTTTTTTCTCTACCCACTGCATTCGCAGTTCGGAGAGCGTCGCCCTCTGGGTGGGAAGAGGGATACGGAGCCAATGCCGCACACCTCTCCTGAACACTGCGAGAAGCCGGGAACCGCTGAGCCGGGAACCGGAAGGACTTCCCCGAAGAAGTCGACTTCAGGCGTTGGAGATGGAGCAACGCTGGAAGAAGGAGTTGGAGCAGTTGAAGGTGGGGAGATGGGTCCAACTTTAGGGGGGTTGGGGCTTGGATGCTTTCGTTCGGAGGCTCCGAACGGTTGCTGAAGAGAGTGGCAGGAACCTGAGTCACTGTTTAAACTTAAACCCAAGCAGTGTCGAAAAGGTCGGGATTTCTGTGGACCAAATGGAACACTTGAAGTCGCGCTTCCAATTTTTTTTCGAAGATTTTTGGTTGCTTGTGTAATTGGCACCGGTGGTGGTTGTTCTGTGAGTTTTGTGAACATTGTAGTGCACTTGAGCTTGATCAGAAATGCCTTTGGTCCACTACTTTCCACTTCTGGAAGGATCTGAGGCCTTGTTCGATGCTTTTGGGAAAATGAACTTCTCCTCCTCCAAGGAAGACCGAACAGCTTGGGTCAGGGTGGTTACATGAGTATGCGACCATAGGTTTTTCTTCCACAACATTTTTGCCCAGTCTTCCAGCGACCACCAGTCGAAAGCAAAAACACAGTCACGACGGTAGGAAACGGGATGAAAGTCCTCGAAGGGATTTATGAGTCACGAAGGGCTTGTGAGTTTGGAACTTCACCCTTCAGCCTTCCTTCCATCCTATTCCTTCCATTGTGGCTCGGCTGTTTTTCCTCAGGATGGCCATGAGCAGCTCTTTGCGCAGCTGGAGTCCCTGGAGGAGGAGATCGCACACTTGGAGGAGCCCCAAAAAAGCGGCCGCTGAGCAGCAAAGGCTCTTGGCGCAGCAGCTGGAACAGATGCAGCCGGAACTGCTGAAGAAGGAGTGGGGGTTGGGCTCGTCCAGGCGGTTTCTTCAGATCGAGGGCCAATGTTGGTATTGGTGAGCCAGTGTTGTACTTCTTCCGTACAAGAAATCAAGCACCACTTGACTGGCCAGATCGAAATGCCTTTCAACCTCAATCGGAAGTTGTTTGGGTAGAAAGGCCATGTTGTGGTAGCTTTTCTTTTTTTCCCGGCCAGTAGCAAGAGAAGAGATCAACCACAGACAAATTTTTGCTGGTCCGTCTTTGGCACCTTCAATCCTGTCAAATCAAAGTCTTGCGTAGGTTCCTGGGATTGAAGCTATCCAGAATCCAGAAGCCATTTTTGTTGCCGGACATCTGTACACCAAAAGGTTTGTAAGCCACTCTCAGACACGTGTATGGATTTGTGCCACCACTCAGAGGCTGCTTGCACACCATATTTACAATCTCCCACAAAAGCCATCGTCGGTGGATGCAGACGTCTGCATGGAGTGTTCCACCTCAAAACCCGGCACCCATGAGGGACCCTCCCCCCTGGCACCCCGCCCGACAACACCAAACAGCACCTTTCGTTCTGGAAAACGGAGGAGATGTTGAAGGAGACCAACATGCGCCTCGAGCTGGAGATCAAAGATCTGCAGCGGGAGATCGGGTTCGTCGGTCGGCCGTTGTCGCTGGTCGCTCTCGACTCGAGCGTCGTGGTGAATTTGAGCGAAGTGGTGAAGGACTCACGCCATTCCTGGAAGGGTGCTTCAGAAAGCATACACACCACTGGATAAGAGGTGCCACCAGGGTGGTGCCAGGTGCTTGAAAGTGCCACAAGTAGGTGATAGAGATGAGATAACCAACGTGATTCAGCGCAGTTTCAGCGCCGAGTCTTTTGTTGGAGACATGTCATGAAGCGAAAGACGTCCCCTTTGAAGCGACCACGCCTGATCCCCGTCATTTTTCCAGGAGATCGAGCCGGGACCTCAGAAGGTTGTTGGGACGCGGAGGGGCACCACATGGCCCGGCATCCTCAAACAGAGAGAAGGTGGGAGAGTTCATCACAACTCAGCCATGTAGCACCATCGAATCTGCTAGATGAGATCATTTTGAGATTAGAAATCGATGCTGAGACTGTAGCGGGAATATGCTAGGTATTTTTCTAGGTTCTTCTAGTTATATACTAGTTTTCATCTGAAAGAAAGTCAGATAGGACTTGTGAAACGATGGGCGGAAAAGACAACCTATGTCATCAGGAAAGATCATATATGTCACTCCTTCTATCTCATCAGGCCAAAACAAGCAAGATTGACTGTGGCAAATACACACACTTAGGATAGGGTGTACTGAACTGAAAGCGGTGCCACACGCCGGCCTAGGGTTCCATTTCCTAAGAGTACCAGTAGGAAGCCATCGAATCCTGGGGGTCTTCAAAAGGAAAGGAGGCCCAAAAGGAAAGGACCGAACGACGAACGAACAGGCTGACGACGTACGCTCACATCTGCAGATGCATTAGCACTTTACCAAAGGGTTAAAATTCGCAAGTACGTCCAGCAAGACTCAAAACACGAAACGCGAGTAGCGATTAGTAACAGAACCACATGAGCCACCATGAAAGCAAACCACAGCGAGAACAACAGGTAACCAGTTTGGCAGGTATGTTTACACGGGCCCCGGAGGAGGTCTTCATTGGCCACCGCTCCTCTGGGGCCCCGGTGGCCCCCTGCTGCACAAGGAAAACAACTGTGAAGCTAAAACAATCCGAAAGGATCCCTATGATTCCAAGGGTTACACACACAGGCCTCCCCGAGGGGAGGCAAGACGTGTACTTCGTCCCCAAGTAGTGGTAAGGCCAGGAACCTCTAGTAGCGTCAAAGAAACACCTAACACCTAGTAGGAAGGCCAGGAGCCCCTAGTAGCATCCCAAGCTAAGGTGCCGACAAGAGGGAGGGGTAGGGAGAGACGAGAAAAAGGAGAGAAAAGAAAGGAAGGTGTTCCCAGCTACGACGCATGCGTCCAAGGACACACCAACGGAAGAGAGGAGAAGGTTCCCAGCTATGACAAAAGCATCCAGGGACACCCAAGGAGGGAGGAAGGAGAGAGAGAAGGAAAGAAAGAAAGAGAGAGGGAGAGAAAGGGAGAGGAGAGAAAAAAGAAAAAGGCAGGTGTTCCCAGCTACGAACAAGCGTCCAGGGACACACCAAAGAAAGAGAGGGGTGATCCTGAGTGTTGCATTCAGGAAAACCCCAGGAAGCAAAGAAAGAAAGGGGGAAGGGAAGGGGACCCAACAGGTTCCAATGAACCTCAAAAATACTTTGACCGCTGTGGTCACCTTGTGCCCTGCCGAAGCGGCTGGCTGCTTAGACCGCTGCGGTCACGTAAAGGCATGAGCCAACTTGGAACTCCAAAGATGAGACAAACATCCCACTTCTTGAGGCGTAAGCCATCTACTGTCCGCTGCGGACACTTACATCTCCAAAGCAAGGGAGATAACGACGTACCCCCGTTCAACGGGTCCACGGGAGGCACTCTGCGGGCTCATCCCGGGTTGGCACGGGGCCAAACACACTTAGGATAGGGTGTACTGAACTGAAAGCGGTGCCACACGCCGGCCTAGGGTTCCATTTCCTAAGAGTACCAGTAGGAAGCCATCGAATCCTGGGGGTCTTCAAAAGGAAAGGAGGCCCAAAAGGAAAGGACCGAACGACGAACGAACAGGCTGACGACGTACGCTCACATCTGCAGATGCATTAGCACTTTACCAAAGGATTAAAATTCGCAAGTACGTCCAGCAAGACTCAAAACACGAAACGCGAGTAGCGATTAGTAACAGAACCACATGAGCCACCATGAAAGCAAACCACAGCGAGAACAACAGGTAACCAGTTTGGCAGGTATGTTTACACGGGCCCCAGAGGAGGTCTTCATTGGCCACCGCTCCTCTGGGGCCCCGGTGGCCCCCTGCTGCACAAGGAAAACAACTGTGAAGCTAAAACAATCCGAAAGGATCCCTATGACTCCAAGGGTTACACACACACACACACGCGCACACACACACATTTATGTTGTGATATGTTGTTTGAAGATGTTCGAGATTGCGTGGACTTCAGCAGGTGTCAATTGAAGCTTTCATCAGTCATGCTGTCTCCTTGGGCACGGTATTTTACTTTATGTTTTGCTTTGAGATATTATGTACTTGTATATACTGGCAGAACGTCCACAACTCCTAAGTCATCCTGCTGTGTATTGCATTTGGCAACCTTGTCTACTGACTGATGACTTAATTGTTGTGTCCCACAATTCCTATTTCACTAGCCCAGCAACTTCCTATGTCAGTAGCCTCATAAAAATACATACATACACATGTATATATATATATATATGTATAATACAATTGTGATATTTATCTTTCTAAATATATATATATATGGTATATATGTTTATAATATATAATGATATATATATATATATATGTATATATATATATATATGAGCCTTATCCCTATGATCTAATCTCCAAACAGCAAGACCCCCAGATGGATATGGGCACTGCTTGGGCTATTTGGATTCATACCTGTGCTGCAAATCCTCGACTCATTTTGTTCACCCACTACCCAGGAGGCAACACGGGCCATTGGCACTCCTATATAGAGTTAACCACTTTTGGCCTGCAGATGCCGACGTCCGACTCGAGGCAGCTCGAGAAGCGGAAGAAGAGGGGGCTACCAAGGTTGGATGCATGCAGATAGACAACAGATGACCCATCCTTTGAAGTACCTGTTGCGAGGGTTTCTTGGATGGCTCTTTGAAGGAACCAACTGCAGATGGAAATTGCAGAGTCAAATCCTTCGTTTCGCCCAGCGATAGAAGGTGATTTGTGGCTTCCATAGTTCGGTGCATTGACCACCCTTCCCCACCCCCGGTGCCTCAACCTTTAGGTGCAACAAGATTTGTTGTGAATTTCCTTGGCCAAAAAGACAACTCCTTTCAGTGGGCGGTGCCGGCAAGATGTCCCTTTCTTCTGTGTGCCAAGAGGTGTGCGTGGTTCAGCCCTTTCATTTGGTGCCACGTCCTGTCTTCCACTCGATCGCCGCCTTCGTGTCTTCCTGCGTCCGTTCACCGGTCGCCTGGTCTCAGGCGCACCGGTTCCAAGCGGCCTTGAGGTGGGGTGGGACGTTGGCTTCGGGCGATGACAGGGATCGTGCATAGTTCTGTGCGGCGGGCGCGACGTTCGAAAGCCCCATGTGCTTTCGAAGCAGGTGCGGACAGGTCGCAGGGTTGGGAGCTTCCTTCACACCGAAACATCCTTCGAGCTTCTTTCACAGAAACAGACCTTGGTATACCTTGCCCCAGGAGTAGCTCCACACCCCCGTCGGGCCTCGCCCCACCGCTTGAGACCGGTCGCGCGGACTGGATTCTGAAGGAATCCTTTGAGCCGGACGGACGTGCTCCGTGTGAGACCAAAGGCGTGCGGAGCTGGTGCGGAGCTGGTGCGGAGCTGTGGAGAATGAGTTTGGGCATCCAACGGTGGTTCCAACGGTGGCTTTGTGCAGGGGTCTCTTGCAGGGCCTCTCGGATGGCATCAGGTCTTGTGTGCCTGAAAAGCTGGATGCAGCATCCGCCAGCTACGCGTGCTGCGCTTTTGCTCAAGTTTACTGTAATCATGGAGGCCATGGCTGCTCTTTCAGCAAAGCATCTCCTCCACATGTGCACAAGGTAGTCTTTTCTTTCCACACTAGCGTTCATCATCCGGGATCCTCTCGAAAGGCGCCCGTGCGCTTTGTTGTGACGGAGCAACTAGGACCCACTTTGCCCTGAACGACATGGTTCCTGCACGTGCCAAAAGAGGTTCCTTATAGAACGACCGTTCCAGCCACCATTCCTTGGTTGGGCACGGCACGTGGCACAGTTCCAGCTGCGCCTGAACTCAGCCATGAGAGAATCCCTGCGCAGAGCGGCCAGCTCTCAGTGGGATCAGCTGTCGCCAGAACAGGCCTTTTTCGGAACGGGCGAGATTCCTCGCGAAACAAAAACGCGAAGCTCCGGGTGTCTCAAGGGCTTGTGCAAAACTGGATGGCTAGAGGTGAAGCCTAAGCACCGCCAGGTGGTCATTGCTGCAACTCCTCCTCTCCTTTGGGAGCATTTGGGGGAAAACATGAAGGAAACGAATGCAGATCTAGAATCTAGTTCCACTCACTTGGGGACTGACAACCATTCCTTTGGAACTGGTACAAAGGCAGGTCTTTGCTTTTCAACTCTTCCGCTGCCAATCCGCTGAGGCGGTGGAGGAGGTACGACCCGTGCTTCGGGCGTGTGCCGAGGCGGGGACCGGACCGGGAGACCGGGGAGACACACCCGAACTGCATGAGACTGGACTGTTGGGTAGGGCCGGATGGGGGGTCGTTCAGCACTGCTTTGCTTGAAGTTGTCCGTCCTTTCCTCTTTAGCTCCGAAGAAAAGGTGAATACCTCCTGCGTAAGCCAGCTCCCGGCCGCCCAGCTTCATTGAAGCCAGGCTGTGGCCGAATCATTAGCCACTGGACATCCTTTGAATACCAGGCAGGACGAGTGATGATGAGTGCCAGCTGAGGTGAGCTTGCCAGGTACGGGTTTGTCTCAAAGAACTCCCGTTCCAAGTCTTGCATCCCCTGCCCCCTTGTACCACAGAAGAGAAGGAGGCTCCCTTATCCTTTCCTTCACATAGACAGGTTACCTCCCCAGATTGGGAAGACCACTCTCATCCGAAAACAACTGGCTCATCGTCCAGAAGGCCAATTCTTGATGAAAGTTGGAGAGCCAGGAATTGCAGTTGGCCCAAGTGGTCAGGTGCCAGGCCAGGAGTCATCAATGGTGGGCCTTAGAAAAGGGCTTCAAAGAAGCCTTAAGGTGAAGATCCTGATGGAAAATAGTAGAACTACCGAACTACCTGTCATCCTCTAGTAGAATCTGGAACTTTCCCACAGGAGGATGTGTGTCCAATTCAGTGAAATACGGTGCATCTTATGGCTGGTTCTGATGACTATGAATCTGCACAACCCCACAATCTGCAATTTTTGAATCCCATCAGCCAGTGCCTTCAGCTAGCTCCGTTGGCCGGGTATGTCTCAAGCTGGAAGAAACCCCGACCCGCAGCGGCTGGGAGCTCAACGCCATGGCGGAGCAAGCGCCCAAAGCACCGTGGTGGGTGCCCCTCTTCTGGCCCTTGAGCCATGTGAAGAAAGCCCTGAAGCTTCAGAGGCCGGCTGCGCTGGAGCCCCTAGAGGTGCGAGCGGTCGGTGGTTCGGGCCCCTGTGCCGCGATGCCGCTTTCGCGAGGAGGTCGCCGGGGTGGATGGATCAACAACGAAACTTAGCGGGTTAGACACCACTTGTACAATGTGATTGAGAAACTTCTAGAGCAAAGGACCTTCACGGCAAATGGACCTTCATGCACCTTCCCCCCTTCTTCAGTTCGGCCACCCGAACTGGCGCCGCTGATGTAGACAGCCGCTGAGACCGCCGGAGACAGGCAACGCCTGACTTGGACCTTCAGGGCCATCTGAGCTCGGTGGTGGCATCGCTGCGCTCCTTCTTGCTGGCCTATCTGGCCATTAATGCCTGTGAGTCTTGATCCCCCAAAAAGGACACCGAAGCGAGGCCCTGACTGGGGCACAGTGAGAGTTTTCTGGTGGGTTTCGGGCCAAATGTTTAGGCACGGGGATTTTGTGACGATCATGAGGTCATCTACACCCTGTTGAGTTTGGGGATGTGACTTTCAGCAGTGATCTGGGGTGAGCTGAACATAGAAGCAACAGATCAGAATTGAGAATGTTCAAGTCGGCTTGGAGGGCAAGGCTTGTCAACTTCCATGAATCAACATGATTTGTTGGGGTCAGATGCCACCTCCAAGGTGGGAAAATCCCTTGATGGACAAGTCAAAAGTCACTGGAAGTGAAAACCAAATGGCGGCTAAACTGTATATCATATCCCTCAAGCTTTCAGTCTTTTGCCAAGACCATGTCGATCTCTTCTTCTCACTGGGGGCTATAGTTAAGTTTCCCTAAAGGTCTAGGAACCAAATGAATAGTGTCCTGCGTCCTAGGTAGTAGCTACTTGCTGGCTACAAGCTACCGTTTGCTTCTACTAGCTACCCAGCTACTACCTCCCTCTACGGCCCACCCCCCCGGGGCTTTATTCCTCTCCTTTAGACCATGAGGACTATCCAGCCTACGGCGCGGCGAGGACTTGGAGTGTCCCGCATGAGAGAGTCCCAGCGGGCCCAAGGGCAGATGGGAGCGCAGAAAGGTCGAGCTGGGCCTTAGAAAGTCCAAGATGATCAGCTAAAATGAACTAGTACCACTGGTACCATATCTCTCCACATAGATTTCCATATGTATCGAGAATAACACATTGATATAGCCTCTCTCTCTCTATCTATCTATATATATATATATCAATATGGTATATTCCCGATACATATGGAAATAATGGAAAGATAAGATATGGTACCAGTATGTACCAGTTCACTTTTCCAGATTTTATAATGTTGGGAATCAGGGCCAAGACCATTCATCCTCACGTCCCGAACTTGCGGGGCTCATCCCGCCGAATTTGAAAGCCCAAAAGGCTCACTCCTCGCTGCACTTGAGGCAGAGGCCCAGAGGCCTTGCAGTCGACCTTTTTGGGTTTCAAGGCCTCTGCCTTGAGGCTTCCAGTGGATGTGGCCGCTGCTGGTGAGGAACTTGATCGCCACCTGGGTCATCTGCGGATTCTGGGATTGGCCTCTTCCTCCGAAGTGGGAGGGAGGGTTTCGAGGGAGGCTTTTAAGGCTGTGCCACTCAATTGATGCATTCACCAGATTTGTGGTTCTGTTCTCAGTTCTCAGGGTCTTGCTTCGGGATCATGGACGAGAAGTCATGCTGCAGTTTCAAAGGCAACCACATGGCGTGAGTGAACGAGGAGTGCGAAGCAGTTTCGTGGTTTAGGACCAAGAGCAGGCAACCCTGACGTGCCAGATCAATGCTGGCCAGATTGGGATGTCTCTCACAGTAGAATGATGGTGTTGTCAGTTTGGTTTCCCTTTTACCAGGGGTTGTGTTGCATTGAGACGAGCTCCACTTTTGAATTTTTGACAATACTATGTCATCAATGAAAGGGCGTTGTGTTTGTGGGGAGGATTATGTCAGATATCTAGACTCCATGTGTTTTGTGCCATGCTTGCTACACTTGTCACCACAGTGGCATTGTGAATAGTATGATATAGAGATGTCACTCAACCACCCATTTTTGCAGCAAACGCACTCATGGAAGGACATTCGGCCTTCTTTTGAACATTGCATAGGACATTCGGCCGAGGTTCCTCTACCTATCTCCGATGAAGGAGGCTGGGCATCGTTGTCGTTGTCCATCCCGACTCTCGGAACACGGCCTCCTTCTCCCTTGCGGTGTCCCCCACACCCAATTCGGTGGCCTTTGGAGGTGCTTCGCCCCTTCAAGATGAACCCGCAACTTGGGCAGCATTGGACGCCATGTTTGGGGAGCACAGAAATCGACACCAGTATTTTCTTCACCGGCTCTGAAGGATGTTTGTGTTAGGAGCAAGGACGCTACTATCGGCTCCTGGCCGTACTACTTGGAACAAGAAGCTACTAGGGCTCCTGGCCGTACTACCAGGAACAAGAAGCCACTAGGCCTTACTACTAGGAGCAAGAAGCTACTAGGGGCTCCTGGCCGTACTACTACAAACAAGAAGCTACTAGGGGCTCCTGGCCTTACTACTAGGAACAAGCAGCTACTAGAGGCTCCTGGCCGTACTACTAGGAACAAGAAGCTACTAGGGGCTCCTGGCCGTACTACTAGGAACAAGAAGCTACTAGGCCGTATTACTAGGAACAAGAAGCTACTAGGCGCTCCTGGCCTTACGACTAGGAACAAGAAGCTACTAGGCGCTCCTGGCCTTACGACTAGGAACAAGAAGCTACTAGGGGCTCCTGGCCGTACTACTAGGAGCAAGGAGTGGCCGATTTCTCCCAATGGAGTCTGGAGATGGCCGCCGACCGTCTGCGTGAAGCACTGGGTCTCTGGTTTTGGATGGCAGAGGATGAAATACCGTGCAAGGGTTCTTTGGCCACGTTAGCCAAGGAAGTACCCCCCGTTGCGGCAGCTGCAGCACGACGCGTTGCACACCACGCTGGCCACGTTGTGTGGCTCTGGGGTGGAGATCCTTTTGTGCCGCTTGTGGGCCACCGGCATGTTGCCCATGCAAGAGACACTTGCGGAGGCACCTCTCTGGCTGCTGGGACAATGTGATCTTGGGTATGGGGAAATTTTGGATGGCTCTCCAACGAAATCATCAACCTTAGTTTCGGGAACCCACACGGAGATCGCCGCTTTTGGGTCCAGTGACCCCGAGTTTCTAAGACACATTTGGAGTTTAACCTTGGGGATGAAGTGTGGTCTATTGAATCTGGCCCTTCATGCAGAAGACCCGTGTCTATGCTGCGGGGACAGATAGAAGTTGCTTCAAGCCACCGGTCACCGCTGGGGTTTCGATGTTTTCCAAACAGAACAGGTGCACCCCGCTTGCGTCACAAGGACCTTGCTGTGGGCCGCCACCATTGTGCATTGGCGTATCCCCCACTTCTACTTGATGCACCGCGGGATGCATCCGTGGAGGACTGGGTCGACGGATCCATTTCACCGGAGAATCGGTTCAGTCCCATGAGAAGCACTTCCAAAGGCACCAACCCAATGAGAAGGCTTTCCTTGACAGAGCCGTCGAGCGCGCGGTGTTCTTTTTTTTGGGTGGACATGGACGGGTGACGGACCGGCTTTTGGGTTTCGGTTTGAATCTAAAGGAGTCTGTTTCAAAGGAGTGTCTGTTGGAGGGGCCCGGGGTGCAGAACATCCACTCACTGAAAGGGGACTGCCAGCGGTCGTCTTGCCACACTTGTTCCGCTCCTGGGTGTTTGCAGGACTACTCGTGTTCCTGATTTTGGGAAGTTTTTGTACCGCAGCTCACCTTAACAAGGACTGATTTCGATCTGAAAAAGGGGTGTGCAGGACGTGTGGAAGAGAATTCAAGGTACTGTAACGTAGCAGTTTTGTAACATTGTAACTTGTAACTCCAAGTGGGAGCACTGCAGAAGGAGGTCGATCCTGTGTATATAGCACACAGCAGAATATAGCAGGATCTTGGGCCCAGCGGGTGTGCTGTTGACTGTTGTTGCCTTCTTCAGCTTGACTCATATTGGACGCTTTTGCCCTTAGAACTGGTCCTAGATCTTGAATCTGCCTGATGTTCGAGTGAAAAAGCTGGTTGAAACGGCTTGATCGATGGGCCGCCAAGAAATGGCAGGTAAATAGCAGCTGAACCCAGCGAGAGTCGGTGTTTCCTTTCTAAAACCGAAAAGGGCTGAAGAGGAGCCGAGGAAACAGCTGAGCAAAAAAAAGCTGAGCCAAAAAACTGAAACAGTGCAGCCAAGTCCCTTATCCAAAACCATTGTATAATATTGCAAGTCGCCTCGGGGCCAGCGAAGTGATCCCTGCTTTTCCGAAACACATTTTCTGCCGTGCTTTTCTATCTTGTTGGATTACTTCCCAACAGAAGAATGCAGCTGGGTTTCAATCCCTTGGGGGAGTGGTCACAGTTTGCCTCTGGCGCCCGAGAGCCGGAATCCCACCCGCCCGCCTGGGTGCTGTTAGGTGTGACATCCACGTTGGAAGCCTGTGTGCTGTTATGTGCTGCGACCCGACTTCCACATTGGAACCCGCATGCTGTTAGGCGCTGTGATTCTGTGATCAGACTTCCGCCTTGGACACCTGAGTCATGTTAGGTCAGGTTTTGTGATCGGAACTGCCACCTTGGCAGTTTGCTGAGAGACTTCCACCTTGGATCCATGGGCGGTCCGGTGATCTTACTTCCAGGTCGTGGGGCGCTGTTTCATGCTGTGATTGGACTTCCATCGGGTGCTATACTGTACTGTGATTAGACTTGCACCTTGGAACCTTGCATGCGGACTTCGACCTTGGAAGTCTGGATGCTGAGGTCAGGTGCTTTGATCGAGCTTCCATGTTCGAATCCTCGGTGCTGTTGGGTGCCGTGATTGGCTTCCAGCTTGGAGGCCTGGGTGTTGCTAGCGTTCCGCAGCTCCACCAACGTTTTTCAGCGTGGACAGGGCGCCCTTCTTGTTCTTTCGCGGAAAACGGGCTGATCGTCTACTCTGCCAAAACCTCGCTGAGCAGCGTGTCGGCGACGGAGGCCTTGCAGGTCACGTGAGTGGCGCAAGCAACTGTTTCTAGTCCCATGGACTTTGGTTGACAGACCAAATTAGGCAGGCTGACTTCGCAAATCGTTGGCTCGATGACCTTGGTGTGGTAAGTTCAATAGCGTTAGAGGAGCACAACGAATTGTGTGTTGCCGGCAGTTGTTCTTTGCTCACTGGACTGTTCTGTGCTCACCAACGTGCTGGTAATTGTTGTTGGGTTTGTGCAGTCTTTTTTTTGCGTTGCGGCGCCTTCCTTTCACACACCATGTTATGTCCTACGCGCAACAGGTAGTTGCATGTATCTAGCTGGGCGTTTTGGCGCCGGCAAGCGCTTGTGCACTTGTCGTTTGTGCCTTCTGTTTCCATTGCGAAGCATTCCAGCGCAACACACTCGTTTCTGCAACGTCAACAGCTTTTGCGCTTGTTGTGTGCCTCTTGTCCCAGTTGCAGAACATTCATTCCACAGCCATTCCACGCACAATCAAATATGCCCCACACGCAGCAAGGCCACAGGCAGTCGCGCATACCCAGCAGGATGTTTCTGCCCCGGCAACAGTCTGTGCACTTCTTGTGTGCCTTTGCCTCCATGGCCAAGAATTCTTTCCACGCTGAGAAAACACATGTTCCATGTGCAGCAAAGCCACAGCCAGTTGCACGTACCGAACAAAACGTTTCTGCACCGGCAGCAGTTTTTGCATTTTTTAATGTTTCATGCTTGCTTTCCGGTTCCCACTTCCCGCTCCCTCGCTTTGGGTTCGGCAAACGGATTGGGATTGGCTGGGAGCTTCAGCAAGCCAAAGCCACATAGTTGGAGTGTTTGAATAGTCCCAGACTACTAGTCAATTGAGTTGTTACTGTATTTGCTGTTGTGTTGCAAGGCTAGGCCAATTGCCTTAGGCCTTGGAACCGTAGTTGACCTCGACTTTACGTGGCGCACTCATGCATGCCCATTGTGCCGAGGCCACGTGCATGCCCAGCATCACAAATCCTATTTGCCCACAGCCTTCTCTGGCACCAACATGCATCCGGTGGAGGTACGATGCTCGGCAAGACGATCGGTGGACAGTGGACGGATGGGTGGACGATGCCCGGCTTCGGCTTCCCCCACCTTTTTGGTTCGCGGAGGCTCAACGCGGGCTCACCAGGTAAGTCGGTGGATGAACGGATGGCCCTCCCATCGGTTGGGTGAGGAAGGAGGGGAAATTCCTGTTCTTTTATTGCAGGGGCCTTTTGAGTGGTGCAGAAAGCCGGTCCGATGGGATGCTTTTTTATAACTTTTTTTCGTTCCCATGAACGTGGAAGATTGGCGAATCGACTCAATCGGTCGGCACGTTTGCGTTTGGTTGGAGTTTTGGAACTGCTCAGCTGCAGCCAACGTGTGTCCAAAGGAAAGGCATGGTGCAGGGTCCCAAGTGTGCGAAAAAGTATACTTTCAACGTTTGTTCCTGCACTGTGTTGGTCTGCGAGAACAGAGTGCTCCCAACATTGCCAAACCGTTTTTTTGCAACAAACATATGCGCCATCGGGGTGGCTGGCGGCCAGGCCACGTTATACTACTTGATGCCTTCACTTTTCATGGCCTACCTCTGCCGCCTGCACCCCGCAGTGGCCTTGGGCTGCATCTTTGACTGCGCCGTCGGCGCCTGGCTGGGCCACGATGGCTTCCGGTGGCCGGGGGCCGGGGTCGCTCGGCCGATTCAGGCGGGGGGCCGGGGTCGCTCAGGTCTCGGACCCGTGGGAACCGACTCGACCTCCGCTCGCTTGGACCGGTCGGGGACTGGTGGCAGTCCACTTGAGGGCCGTCGAAGTGTGCCAAAGCGCCTGGTGGGGAGGGTGTTCGGGTGGTCCTGGTGGGGAGTTCCGATGGTCCGATGGCTTTGCTCCATCGGCGTTTTTTTGACCAGGGAGACTCCCGAGCCACGCCCCCCTTGGAAACAAAAACACAGACGACGACTGAACCCATGAGGGCAGAGATGGCAGAGGGAGTCAACACAGATCCCACAAAAACATCCAAACCTGCACCTGGTTTGTTCTGTCAGCGTTTCGTTCCGCACTGAGTCCCGGTCCAGGTTTGTTTTGTTGGTTTGTTGCTATTGGATGGTGGTGGTTGCGGTGCTTCAGAAGGGCTTTTGCTGCCCATCTCTTTGTTCTTCGGGTGGTTGCACTTGAATCTGCTTCACGTCGTGCAGTCACGATGACTGCACAGCACACTCAGGATTTCTTTCACCAGCTCCACCACGAGCATTTCGACTGTAACTATGGGGCGCAGCACATTCCCATTGACAAGTGGCTAGGGACCTACTGTGGCAGCAAAGCAGACGCTCGGGGAAGCATCGCGTGATGGAAGATGTTTCAAGGCTTACTGTAAGGGCCGAGGCACGCAGAAATCCAAACGAAAAGAACTCGAGGCCTGCAGCTTGCCTGCAGGTTGGATTTCGGTTGAAATTTGTATGGGCTGCCAAGCAGATCCGGAAAAAGGCATGGACATTTCTCTGGGCCCTCGTCGACCGTCGCACGCCAAGCCAAGCAGTTCCTCTTGGATCCGCCGACCGCGGTCGGTTCGGGCTCCCGGACGTCGACCGAGCCGACGCCCGAGGACTTGAAGAAGGTGTGGGGCACCAGCAGCTCGGTGGGGCGAGAGGGCAACATGGAGTGCACCCAAGTGTGGGACTGCAAGTGAAGGAGCAGAATTCCACCGTGAAAGACACAAAAGACCGCTTTCCAAGGCCGCTGAAAGACAGACGCCCACGCAAGGATTGGGCCGATTGGATGGGTTTTGCGTTCGTTTCTGGTGTGAAAGGCCCCGCCGCACCAGCAACAACAACAGGGAGAGAGGTTTTAGCAAAGTTTAAGCAGAACGTTAGCGCGTCAGAGTTTGTTTCAGCGTGAATCTGGAACATCACATCAAGCTTTCGGCTTCCTCTGGATTTGATGCGCTTTGTTTTGCAATGTTTCAGTGTGAATTGGATTCAGATTCCCTGCGTAACCTGTGATCCCAACAGGCGTGTCAAGTCTTTGGTGGGAGATTGTCCCCACAGGAGAGCCTCGCAGGGAGGCTGTCGTCGGCCTCGAGCCCAAAGTGTTGGTGACCGCCAGACTTTTGAAGGGCTTTTATGGTCAGACCTTGGCCATCACGTGCGGGATGGTAAGCATCCTAAAGCATTTGTCAAATTAGCAAAGATGGGGATGCCTTTTGTTACTAATAGCTTCTGTTCCTAGTAGTAAGGTCAGGAGCTACTGGTAGCGTCCGTGCTCCTAGTAGCGATGCCCTTTGTTACTAGTAGGACTCCAAAAACTGGTCAACGACTTGGGAAACCTCCGAGTTTTGGACCAAAAGATCCTCGCGAAGGAATCCATCCGCATCACGTGCTGGGACCAAACCAACAGGCGAGCCGGCCACAAGCAGCTTAGTTCATTGCTGGAGCTCAGAAGCAGCCAGTCGACAGAAGCAAAGAAGTGTAGAGCTCAGTGCTGCTGCGCAAGCTGGTTCAAGAAGGAGTTGAAGGACCATGACGAGGGTAAGACATTGTGTCTCTACTCTAGATCGCAAACTGAGCAGTGTTATGGTTTTGGAACACCCCACGCAGTAAAAGAGGTGATAGACATTTCTGGAAGATATAGAAAAGTGAATTGACCAGTGGAACGTGAATTGAAGACGTTTCCATGTCTATCCAAACCAGGTCATATTTTTTCTGGTTTTAAAGCTCTGAGTCTAGTTGCATCAAGCCTGCAGGCAAGTCAAAGAAAGGGGCCTTTTGGTCTCACCCACCAATTGTTTAGTGATAGGCTACTTTTGAACAGTCAGTGGAGGCAATCTCGTATGTTCAAAGCTTTTATATAGTATTTAGTGCTGTCAGAATGTTTTGTTTCTCTTTGGGATGGTACCACCAGTGGCACAAAAAACAGTTCGTACAAGAAACACATTGTCATTTGTTGGTGTTAGTGGCCACCACAAAATCTGTTGCTTCCCTACATTCTGAATATTTTGATGGCGCGAACACTTGTGCAAATTCTTGGAATAACTAACAAGACGTGACAGTTTGCTCTCAGTTGGCTCGCTTTGACTTTGGCAGGTGGGCTGTGCCACTGGAGCAGGCCTTCCTGGCTGAAAGCCCGGATGCTAGCGACGAAGCACAGGCGTGGGACATTTTTGGAGCTCTCGTGCAACCCCCGCTGGGCTGGACGCGTTCCTTTGGAAGGAGTGACTTCAGGCAGCAACTCGCCGACCCGGACGGGTTGTTGTGGAACCGAAGTGGTTGACTCGGTCCATTGGTTTTGTTGACCTTTTGACTCCTGAAGCAGACCAACCTGGATGAATGGATGTCAAAATCCAGGGGCTTCAGCATGCTTCAGCTCCGTTTCTGGACGGGGCCCTCGCACCCTTGCCGGACTGGGCATTTTCGGCCAGAGAACCACCAAACCCCGAAATTCTGGTTCACCCTGGGTCGAACAGATTCCTCTATGTGGATGTCAAGCGAACGCATGGTTTGTAGATGTTTGTAGGGTTCAATGACCCTCCAACAGGGTGCTATACAGTCTGCACACCTCACCGGCCCCCGCGGGTGCAAACCCCCGCTCGCCTCGAGGCGCGGTGCCGCGCGGTGCGGGACGCCTTTGCCGAGGACGTGGGGGAAGACTTGCAGGTCTGACCAGATCACTGGGGGTCCGAAGTCTGTTCACAGGGTATCTTTTTGTACGTTCTTTTTCCCGAAAGCATTGCGAAGGGTTCTTCCGGAAAAACCCTTGAGCACTGACACTTCGACACTTACACTTACACACTGACACTTCCACCACATTCGCACGACATACACTGACACTTCGACACTGACACTTACACATACACACTGACACTCGGCAAGCACGCAGTGTAAGTATGCAAGTGATGGGTACGCAAGCATGCATTGAGCATGCAAGCATGCAATGAGTAGGCAAGTGTGAGTATGGAAAACTAGCACGGGAGATGTCCTAATGAAAAACATTTCCCCACTTTATAAATTCTCTCTTAAAGGCGGAGGGCGGGACGAACAGCGTCAACCGAAAGTGCAACCCTCTGCGGAGATCGTGCGTGTCGAGTGCGCGAAATGCAGGCGAGAG